TTGAAGGCTGCGGAATTTCGTAGGAACATTTTAAAGAAGGAAAAAAACAGGCACTCCAATGTGATCAAAGTACGCGTAAACAAATTTGAGTCCGATTGGACGTACTGTGTGGGAAAAAAGGGGTGAAAAATTCTTTTTTTTTTTATTCAGAACTTTATTTTGAGAGCAACACAAAATAAGGTTTCCTGTAGATGTTAGGATTTTTTTCTCCAACTAGATTGATCGAAAACTGATCAAATTTAATGGCGTTAGGAGTCCGCCATCTATGTTTTAAGAAACTTAGGAATAAGGAATGATCATCATCAGGAGAAGAGTGTGAGTATGGGGTGTTTTCTTCATTCCCACTAACACCTACTCCGTCATTTGATTTTTCAGCAAATACCTTCCAATGGATTCAAAATTCAGTAAAACAACCATAATCTGACTCTAAGGACCCATGGGCACGAACAATTGTAGATGCTTTCTAGTCGTGCTGAGATCTCTTTGTGGGCCCAATATGAGTTCTAACGGAAGGATATAGTTGGACTAGTTCCATCGAAAGTGGCGACTGAAAAACAAGGAATCGGGTAACTGGCTAAAGATAGAAATATGGTGTCATTAAGAGCAACAAAATTTCGCTGTGACCCTCTTTCATTCTAACACATACTCAAGGACGAGCTCAATCAAAATAAGTTTTCATTTCGTTAAGCAACTCAACTGGTTGATTGAAATCTTCAGCTTGAATGGTATTTACTGATAGAATATTGACTCGAACATATCAATATAGAGAAGAAACAGTTCATTCTTATAGATTATATTCCTATCTAATGCTGTCTCAAACTAATGTTTCTAGTAGATTCAATGTATTCAATGGCTTAGGTTTTTACGTTGAAAAAAGAATTTTAATGATATTATAGTTCAAACTTTCATGTATCGAAATCATCAGAAAATGAGCTGATTTTAGATGCCACTTCTTGATCTTTTCGTCTGATTTCGAGTACTACGCGCACATTTTATGATTGCTTTTTTGAATGCATCTTGTAGAGCTTTCTTCGCTCTATCGAATCCATAGAAAATCATTGTCGGTCCGTATGTTTTTCAATATGTTTTCCACAAAAATGGTAACAATTTTCCGAAATAAGCACGTAGTTTTTTTTGCAGTGTACATGAATATTGAACTCTACAAGCCATATTCAGCAAGCAATTGGAAAAAGTCCAAATACATATTTTTGTAGAGCACAACTTGTTCTATCTTTTGAAATATTGTTTGATTCAATTTGATCGATACATAGAAAAAAAATAGTTATATACTGGAAACCACAAGAGGCGAAAAAATGAAATGGAGCTCCACTGAACCATACCAAATGTTTTCTTCATAATTATTGAACGATCACTCAGAGAAGGCTAAAATTTTAGACTTACAGTTTTTTTTACATGCTCTTTCATTTCCAATAATAAAAAACTTATGTCAAAATTTTTTATGCATGACACGATTTCTCGATACAGCCATGAACTGAGTCTTAACTTCAAATATATTGAAGCTTGTATTGTGATAGTCTCAGAGGTTGTTATTTTTTGGTTTGAACTAAGTCATCGTATGCGACACTGGTTTTAACAGATTAACTGAAACTATGAACTGTGAAAATGTCCCGAAATAACATATGAGAGTTCAAGAATGAGAATGCCGCAGGAAAACAGTTGAGGATGTGGGTGGTGGGTGTGGGTGTGGGCGAGAGTGTAGGTGCTACTATTATCATGCACATCCACACCCTCACCCGTGTATCACTATGCAGACCAGGCTAAATTTTAAAATTTTAGCCTTGGCTTGATCAGGCTGAAAAATATTTAACCTGGTCTCCAGGCTAGGCCAGGCCAAAGGTGGTGGTCTGGGTGTGGCACAATGCTAAATTTCTCAGTAATCAACTTAGACAAAAACTAATATCACAAATCAATAATGCTGACTTTCGACATTTGCTCTGCAGTATTTCTATAAATCAATATCTTTTATATTCGATAGCTTTTCTTCTTTGATTCTTTTTATTTTTTTTACCGTTTATTCCTTTTACATCAAGACTCTTTGACGTTTTCCTATTCAAAATATTTACTTTCGATGTTTAGCAGCTGGCATTCATTCAAGTTCTAATTCTGTAAAAAAAAATATTCATAATGTACCTCACTACTGTAGTTAGCTGTTCTGAAAAAGCTTGTTCATCAGTTGAAGAGCTCCTTGGTTCTAAAAAGTACTCAAATTCAAAATCACATTTTCAATTTCTGTTAATGAAAATGAGAGAAAGACAGTTCCAGTTTGTTTTCCAAATTATCACGTTCAACATCAAGTATAAGTAATAAAACATAAGACAAATATAAAGCTTTCAATACATTCTGAGAAATTTTCACTGTTAAATATTTGAGATTGAAGGTTGCATAGAACTCAACACTTAAAGAAACCGATCGTTTGCATATGTCCTAGTTGCCAGATTCCAAGAATAAAAGGAAAATATCTAGACACAAATTTTAGGACTGCAGGATCTACTTGACGGATTAAAAAGGCCTCGATATTTTTTTTACAGTTCAGATCACTTTTCCAATTTCATAGATTTTTAAAGGCCAGTGACGGTTTCATTCTCAATTCCCATTTTCGAAGAACCGTTGACCTGTATTTTATTGTTTTCACGAAAACAAATTCAATAGATAATTGAAACTGATATCACATATTAATACAGAGTTGTACAAGTAATGGATTTGAAAAATCAAAAACACTAATTGGTCTGATTTCGCCTACAAACTGCTCCTTGAATTTTAATCTGGCTTGACATGCAGGCCAGACTGGAAAAAAAGTGATCTGTTTGCAGCTCTAATGCAGATAAAGAGTATCATTTCTTAAAATCACAGACAGAACAAGTTCTCGAGGAGTTGTTTTTTTTTGAAAAAAATTCACTTGAAACTGTATTCAAATTTACCATTTGTGTCAGATTGAATATCCCTACTTCGAACTAAAATGTCAAATAGGTAAAATTCGATTCAATAATCCTATTATGATGTTGAATGCGTTAAAACAATCCATTGACAGACTCACAAGAGATGATTTTGAAAAGAAAAACCGCTCCAATGAATACTATATTACAATGCACATATGTATTTATGCTAAAGAACAATACTTTGAATATTTATATGATTGTCGAAAAAAACTTTTTGTGAGTTAAATTACATTTATATATAATTATTATTAGGAAATATTAAAATAACACTTTATTGCTATTGAAACATTATTTAAAAGAAAAAGAAAAATTTTCTTTTTATTCAAGAAGCTTAGTGTGTTTTTTTTATAAATAAATACATAAACGTTAAAAGCAATACGATTATGGACAAGTTCTGTTGTATATATGTTCCAGATGCTCATCTGTTGTCTTCATTTGTTTTATGTAAAACTTAATGTTGTCGATCAAACCATTATTGAATGGACTATTACTCATTTTATTAAACCAAATATTAATAAGTACACTATGTGTATCTAATGGTACTGGCCCATACAGAAGTTGATAACATAAAATACTTCGATTTTTTCGTTCAATATTTGTCATAGGTGCTAAAATAAATACAAACTCTAAAATAAAATAAACAGATATGTAATATCTCAATCTATACTTACGAAATACAATACTTATAAGTGACTGACCACTTGGTGCACGCAATTGCATCGTCAAATAAACATGATCGTTATATTCATCGATTCCACCAGTATCAAATGAAAATTCATATAAAGCACGACCGGAGTTGATCAATCGACTATAATCAGAAAAGAATACTCGTTGATGAAGATAGCCTATTGAACTATTTCGTGTTCCACCCCAAAATACGCAATCATCTCTTGAAATATTTCCAATTAATGGAGGTAGTTCAGAATATTTAGTTACGATTGCTACTGGCTCGTTGCGAGTTATCCAACCGAATATTTCCGTTGAATTTTTATTAGTTTGACAATTTGCATTTCCATTAATAATTAAATTAACTGACTCATTAAATAGATCTGATTGAAGATAGTCCTTACTGTAAAATACATACGATCCATTAGGTAATATTGCATTTTTTATTTTCACAGGTGGTTTTTTACCAAAAATAGCCCCTGATAAATTGACATTTTTCATGATAGCAAACTCTGCATGTACTCCTCGTAAATCTGCATTTGTTAAATCACATCCTGTAAAATTTGCTTCAAATAAATAAGCATTACTAAAATTGGCATTGTTCAATAGTGATCCACTGAAATCGGCTTTCATGAGATGTAAATTAACAAATGAAGTATTCGACAACACAACATAAGTAAGAGTAATATAATCAAACATAAATGTCATACCGGTATGACTTGTTAATATTATTCCAGATAGATCACAACCATTTAAATCCATTGCAGAATTATTAGTAAAAAGTAGTTCTATTTCATACAAAAATTGAATTATATAACTTTTTCGTTTCGTATCTAGTTGTCGTAGTGCTGATAATGTTTTAGCTCGAGCAAGTTTCCATTGTTGATCAAGTTCAGTACTACTAAGATTTTTTGCTTTTAATTTTGACGATAATTCACCCATCTCTTTTATATAAACAGCATAAACTGTTTCTTGTTGTAGTGTATTGGCTTGTTTTAGTTCTTGATCACGTTGTCGTGCAGCGATTTCTAAATCTTTTAAACGATTTTGTTCATTAACTTGATATTGTTGAATAGTAGTCGCAATTGTAAAGATCCCAATAACCAATGGTACAAGAAATGTACCGAGTACCTTTAGCATTTTAATTCTTGACAAACCACAACATGTTCTACGTCTATTTTCATTGGCTCTGTTCGATACTGACGTACCATGTTTAGATTGTTTTATAATTCGATGAAGTGTATTTTTTGACCGTGAAAATCTCGTAGGCATTGTTGAAACTAAAAGTTTAACGTAACAAATAGGCATGTACAAAACTCAAACCTAAACTGTTTAGAAATTTGGATCTGCTCTAATAATTTTATGTTTGAGTTTGATACTAAGAGTAATGGAAATAATTTAAATCTGTAATCTTTGAGAGCTATCTAGGAATAGAGTACGTGCAGCTTTTCTAGGGCTACCCATGGGTAAAATCTGTAACTTTTTAAGGATTACCTTAAATTGGTATTTGTAACTTTTTGGGAGTTACATTGAGAGTTGTATCTGTATTTTTTTAAGGACTATCTGACGGTATTACTTGTAACTTTTTAGCGGCTATCAACACCTATGACTATTAAGGATACCTAAATGAGCTCCCTGGAACTTTTTGAGGATCATCGAAGAAGGTTGCCAGTAATTTTTTGAGTTTTACCGTAGAGCTAAAAATATTAAAAGTTGCGTTCTTGTCTAGGATTAAATTACAAAGCTCACAGCTGTTGAACTTTTCAGGAAGCTCTGTGAAATTTCATAAAGCGTGTCGAAATGTTTTGAAACCTGCACTTACATTCTCTACATCGAGTAAACTCGAACCGCTGAAAGTATCACTTCCAGGTAACCATGAAAAAGTTACAGATAACTCTCCTTCCGATATTTTCGAAAAGATCAATTGTATCAATTTCAGATTGACCTTAAAAAGTTATAGGTATTACTTCAACATAGCTCTTAAATAGTTGCAGATACTACCTCGAGATAATCTTTAAAAAGGTGTAGATACTATCCTTAAGTAGTTTTTAAAGATTACAGATCTAAATTATTCCATTACTCTTAGTACAAAACTCAAATGGTTTGGGTTTGGTGATGCTTAGTAGCAAATGAGCGAAATTAGATGATCTCTCACCCAAACAGATCGACTTCAAAAAATTACTTGTTTAGATTTAGTTAATATGCGAACCGTTTGCTATAGAAGATTATATTTATTATAGTAGAAGTTATGAATAATTATCTACCTAAACTGTTCTTTTTTTCTATGATACAAGTTGAAGATATATCACAAAGATTTTAAGCTTTTATGATGGAAAAATTTAAATAAAAAGCCTTCAGCGTAATCCCTATGGGATTAAAACGTCAAGCACGATGAACTGCTTCGCCTGGTCAAGCAGAGTCTTAGCTAGATGGGCCATTGTAATGTTCTAAAGCTTGATCAATTTTGTCTATCTGTCTTTTTTACTGTTTGTGACGCTAGTAAATCCTGCTTTTCCGTCCATCCGTCTGTCCATCACAATCTGTGACGGTAGAAAATTCTACTATTGTGTCTATCTGTCACGGTCTATGAGGATTGGTTCAAAGTTCTCGCTATATAACTTCAACATTCATTTCCAATCGTGTTCCAAAAAAAAGAGATATTGAAGAGAATACAAATGGAAGAAAAAGAAAAGAGAGAAGCCAGTGCGATTATTGGCACAAGACTACTAACGTATTTCATTCGATAGCGTGATCGTTTATTATTTATGTAATAAAAAAAAAAGCTGATTGATTGTTTCTCACCGTGCTATATCAACAAGTATATTCACGATTTGTCTGTTTAATTCTTTAGAAAAATTAAAGTCTATTCGTTTCTCCATCTGTAGAAAAAATATGAAAGCACAAATTAATAATAATAGCAGTACTCTTTGACACATACTTAGCTGTTTTAAGATTCAATCGTAAGGAAAGGCCAGTTGAATAGAAAAGAACATTATACTAAATTTCAAGATTAACGTGTAGATAACAACTAGTATATCCATAGAAAAAAACACGAGTTATTTAAGTTTCTATCAGTTATAATTGATTGCTCCGACAAAAAGAAACAGAATTCTCATAAAAGAGAACTATTTATCTAGTTAATATTAAAACCTGACTGCTGCAGTAAGAAGAAATAGACTTTTATTAAAAAAGAACTATTTGTCTTGCAATCGGTCGGAGTTAATAACTTCAGCAGAAAAAAAAATTTATAAAAAGCAAGAATTATTTATCAGATCTATCATTAAGATCTGACTTTTCTTATCGATCATTTTGTGAATCCACTTTTCACTACCGCATCGAATAATTGACTGAAGAATAACAATATAGAAGATATTTATTTCATTAAAAGCTTGATTTGATTTGATTTTGATAAAAAAGAGGGATTTATCAAATGTGTGCTTCAAGAAATCAGTAGGTTGTGAACAAATTTATGTTTTGGTGCATTTTCGATCACTATATCCAAAAACAATCCAATATACGACAGTGATTATATTTTCAATGGCTACAAATTTCGACATATGTAAAAATCTTTCGCCATTCGATGTTGATACTTAAAGAATGAATAAAAGATCGACTGTAAGAATATAAATTGCCAAAACTTACATGATGTCGTCACGAAACTCGTGACTGTTCTGACTATTGTGACTGTTGAATTACCGTAAACAAACGCCATATCATAGTTCAAACCGACTACGCACATGGTGGATCGGTATTGTGGTTGCTTGTTCTGCAAAAAAATCAACTATTTGGCTTATACTTGAGAGTATGGATGGGTGTGAGGATGTGGGCATGGGTATGGGATGTGGATGCTAGTGTGACTGTTGAGTTTCGGTACAAGTTCTCTCTAAACACCCACATCCACACTCCACACACGCTCTTTTCTCATTCGAAGTTGTTGAAGTGAACGGAGACAAGTAAATTTATATCTGTAATAGAGCGATTTTGTTCTCTTACTCACTTAATCGGAAAGTGATACGACTTGTTTCTTGAGGGTGTGGGATGTGGTGTATGTCAGAGCTGCCAAATCCAAATGTAAAAAACCAGTAGTTGATCAGAAGATTTTATCAAAAAACCAAGAGGAGAAACCAGTAGATTTTTCTGAAACTAAAGTAACTATTTGACTAACTTGCTTCGAAAGAAACTGAAATTTTCGTTCAGATAACTGTCTGTTTCTTTTTACTGCCAAGTTAATGATGAGAAGAGTATCCTATAAGTGATACATTAGGAAGAGAAAGAAAGATAATTTATATACTTTCCCGAAAATGAACAAGCTGACAGATTCAATAGTCAATCCTTTTTAATTTTCACACATAAAGTTTACCTACTTTCATGCATGATCATGAAGCAGTTTTCGATCTGAATTTTTTCAGTGAAATAGACTTAGTATTTTTACCTGATGTGGCAATGTTTGTAACAAACTATTTATCTCAATAAATCTCAAAATTCAGTGTTCTCATCTTCTAACAACGTATGTATTCGATAAAAATACGGTCGGCTCTTTCTTTTTATTCACAATTATATAAGTCTTTGCCATAGATATTTTTTATGAAATTGATCAGCTTAGTTTTGCAGAACTCAAGCAGAAACAACGTGTCTTATTATCGGTTATTCTATCCATGAAATAGTGATAATTGTTGTTTTTTTGTTTTATTGATTCAAGATGTCACGCAAACTCAGAGTGACGGAGAAACCAGGAGAGAATCTAAAAAACCAGCTCCTGGTCCCAGGAGACTTTTTTATCAGGAGAAAAGTCTAAGAACCAAGAATCTTCTGGTTAAATCAGGAGATTTTGCAGCTCGGGTGTGAGTGTGGATATGCCGGTGTTGGTCTTCTTTTAATCCGTAGTCACACCCATACGCAAAAAAAAAATAAATGTCAACTGCAATTACATTGAAGTCATAGTCATACATTAGTCCTTGGTGATTTTATTGGTTATTGAAATTTTACCATCATAATACCATGAGGACAGATTCGCATAATCTAAGTCTCATATGCTCGTAATGTCGTGAGGCGATGAGAACAAAGATCAGCTGGATTTAAAACCAAAGCATATATACTATTCTGTGTATTTGATCAAGTTTTTCTCTCTACAGATGCTTAACATAGGCCATACTTTGCTTCTCTTTCTCATCGTTTCGTTCTTGGTTGCTGTCTCAACTATTCGAAGTAGCTCTCCATTGTCTCGAATTCAAGTCGATCCAAACACACAACATTTTGTCGATGAATTCGGTCGAGTTCGTATCTATCACGGTGTCAATGTTGTCTACAAAGTACCATCATTTCTACGCAATCTAACCAATTTCGATCCACAAAACTCTTTCACTGATGAGGATCTCAACAATCTTCAAAAATGAGGTTTTAATGTTATTCGTCTCTACACTGCTTGACCGGATGTCAATCCGAAATCACCGAGTGAAGTAGATCAGAACTATCTTTCTTAACTGTTGACCTCTGTGTCACACTAGGGGTGCACCAGTGCCAGTAACTGGGTACTTAGTCATTTGACGTTTATTCCGCTAATCAATCAGTACTTCCCTCTTTTCTAAGGGTGTGGATGTGGGTGTAGGTTTGATGTTGGTATGGGTGTCATTATTGTCATTCTAACCATTCCCACATCCAAACAACATCCACTCCCACATCCATCCAAACAACACCCACATCCACACATCACACCTACACCCTACCCACACCCTGAAGACATGAAATTTATTTATAGTATTCTAAATTATAACGATTGATATATAGATATATATGATTAGCCAATGAATTCAGTGTTATAGTTTATATCAGTACTTCAACAGCCTAAGAATCACTGTATGACAATATACTAAAAAAGAAGCAAGTACTACTCGACTAATGGACTAAAGATCAAAGGACTCAGTACCCAGTCGGATCGGATACCCAGTCGAATTGTACACCCAGTCAGACTGGGACCCAGTTCATCAGTCAGGACTGGGACTGGTGCATCCCTACTTGTCTCTGAACATATCCATTAAAAGGCAAAAGAAGCTATACTTATTCCATCATTGTTACATCGAATTTTATGGGTTACTTTTTTAAAAATTTTACGATAATGTTGTTTTTTTTTAGTACTCTTCGAGATGATATCACCTAGAACTTCACATTTACTTTCAAGTAATTATGTAGATATAGTGGTCTGCCAAGGCATCAATAGAGTTATTCATATGGTTGAAAAGAAACACTAAATTGTAAGTCGTTTGAGCGAAATGATT